CAATTTGTTTTTGTATAATATAAAAAAATCATTAAGTTAGTCTGTCGATTTTAAAGTTTGGACCCCCCCCCCCCCGACCCATAAAAAATCCTGTATCCGCCCCTGAAGTAGTAACACACCCTCCATCATGGCTGACTTAAAGGGCGGCAGTCGTCGCGCCGCGTTCTGTTCGATATGGGACTCATAGCGACGTATACAACGCGTGTAAAATACATTGTTTATTTACATGAAATTAGTATTAAAACTAGTATCTTCAAATTCTTGTGGTTATTTATTAACGAAACTGTATTCGGAATTCCATGTGACTTATTACGGAATCTGATTGAGAAACTAATTTCAATATCGTTTCATAGTCTTCGCGAGAACTTGATAAGCTCGAGAACTTGCGAGATTTCGTGGTGTACTTCGGGATACAAGATGGACACTGTAATTTCCAAATAGATCAATGAAAAATTTATGCTCAAAAAAACCCACAACGTAGTGTGTTGTAGTCAATGAGTGTAAGTGCCGCTCGTTTTCTGATAAGAATGAAGTGCACTGCTACTGGTACAAACAGTGAAACATTTGTAAGTACCCAGTGTCTAGATTTTATTACAAAACATTGTTCAATACAGCGTAGTGTAAATTCCGAATCCTCGGCGAGTCAATTTTTTTCACGTCGTGTTGCCCTTCCCATCCGCAATCAATTGATAGCCGAAAATACCATATATTAAATAAATAATATTTATTGTCGTTTTTCTTCATTTAACGGCGAGATTGTTTTTTTCAGTGTAGTAAATATATGAAGGAAAAAAGATAAATAAACAGTGCCCCATTCGTACTGTGTTATTGTTAGAAGCTCACTTCGGAATTATACAATGGGGCATTGTCCTGACTATTGTTAAATGCGCCCGGGGGAGAGGGGAGGGGTCTATCTATATATGCTTAGTCGTATGACTATAAGTCACCAACAATTTTAGGGTCAAAAGTTACAAGGTTGTTGACCTACATTTATCTATTAAACAAAGGTGTTGACAAAGACCCCCTTTAGTGTGCACATCAATCAAACATATTTCTTAATTCTAACCAATTACTTCACAGAGCACGGTGGCCACGTGAAAAGGTTTGATTGAATACGTTTAGTCATTATTAGTAAGATTGTCTTATTAAAAATATGAAGTGTACATTATACTTTTAGCATTATTTTTCTTGCCATATATCTTTAGTTAAGTTTTGTATCATGCTTGAAAGATGTACTTTTTGGTTCAATCGTCACTGTTGCAATCTTTGAATCTCTGGAGTAGTATGAATGGCAATATGAAGCTAAATATAATTTAACATCATAATCTGCAAATGTAAAATTTTGCATCCTGTTTCATTTTTCTCTCAACTCTTTTGATATAAATGATTGCCATGCAATTTTTATACTTACAAAGTTCACAGGCAAAAAGGTTACAATTGTTAGTCTTTTTTTGGAATGTTGAAATTGATTCAATGTTACCTTTAATAATTAACTTGGACTGAGCAAGTAAATTAATTAATGAAGATGACAAATTTTTACAGTATACCTTATAATTACTTTGACCAGCAATGAAAAGTTGCTGTATGATATCCCATAATTTTACTTTAATTCTTCTAGGTTAAGCCATCAACTAGGTAACTTCATCTGTTGTATGTCTGTTTACTCAAGAGAATACAAAACTATGGATTCTGAAGATTCCAAGCACATTATGGATAAAGAAAGTAGTGAAACAATAAAATTAGATAAGTGTACAGTTCAGACACTTGGTGAGAGTGGTGAGATTGAACTTATATCATCATGTAATAATGCAAGTGGGATTGCTCATGAAAATGAGGACAATTGTAACACTGGTGACAATGAAAATGTTGCTCGTAGCGACAATGACAGCTTAAGTGATAGTGAGAACTCTTCTATCAGTACTGGAGCTTATTGGAGCAGTGTATCATCTAGTGAAGCAGGTGATAAACCTGCCGCTATATATATATCAAGCTGTCCTTCATCAGAATTGAGTGAAGATAGTGATATTGAGGAGATTGCAAGTACGGATCAAATGAAGTCATCTTGCAATGAGAATGAAGAGCGTATAGAGCACATTACAAAGAAACAAAGAGTTCACTCTCCTCAAATAGTAACTGGCTATGTAGAGAGTCTGACTAGCATGACGATGCAGAATGTCATGGAGACAACTGATAATATGTCTGGTTCCCGCCGTCGTTTGAAATCGCAAAAAGAATTGTACGTTATGTTAGTGGCTGAAAGCATGGTGGATAATGCCATTAATAATGTGTTGGAGAGTCTAGGCATGTCTCCACCTGGAATCCGGCGAATTGTTAATGCAGGTATCGCGTCGGCTATCCGGGAGCAAGGTCTGTGCTTGGCATCAGATGACAACACAGAGGGGGAATTGAATGAGGGTACACATGAGTCTACAACTGTATGTCCGGATAGAGCCTTGATGTGTAGTAGATTATTGAATAATGTGTCTAAAATAACGCTACAAAGAAAGCCAGAGAGTATCGCAAATCATAAAAAAGGTGAGGATGATACAATAACATGTCTTGATATAAAACCGCAGCCGAGTACATCTACTGAAATGACACATACTAAACTGACTTCTCCGCCCAGAAAACCTTTCAAATGCGATCCAAAGGGGAAGCGGCTGATGAGTGGGAAGAAACGAAAATTCCATGTACATCGTCACCAGGAAGCGATACCAAGCAAAAGAGTGAAAATAGTAGCTTTAGAAGAATGCTCAAGTTCAAGTTTCAAAACCGAGGCTTGTCTAAGTTTGCATGATGTGAATATCATCACTACTGGTGGTGGTCATCAGTCTGATGTAGCTACAAGTGACTTGACATCAGAGAATAAAATTGCGATTGCTGAAAAAAGTCTTGAAGGGTGCTTTGATTCCTGCTTGCAAAAAGTAGAAGATGAGGCCTTGTTATGTGCAATTAATGAACAAGGAATTTTTATGAATACATAATTATGCTTGTTGTATGAATGTAAATTCTTATGAATTGTGCAATGTTTGCAAGAAAGAGACTTTGGGAGAACTGATCACATTGATTGCTGTGCGGTAGTAGTCGTGCCACACATGCCCGAAATATATGGGTCTCGTATAAACAAAGACCAACGAGTACCAACTGAGACGTTACCAAGCTTTTTTAGTTAGGTATTTTTTGGGTGATTGGAAGTTATCAAAAGAGTCGCTGACGGTAATTAGTAATAAGTCGTGCCCAGGTCCAACCTCATACTTGTGATTTCCATTAGAGGAGCGCACTGGATTGTGGGAAATCAATGTTTATCAACACAAATGTTGCACATGCACAGTGCAACGACTACCGCCCTTTAAACATCAGTCA